AACACTTGAATGAGTAAAATCAAATAAGAACATAAAAAACATTCAAACATGGAATTAAAACACGAGAAAACCCCTGATCGCACCACTTAAAATGCAAAATCCCTCGTTTTAGAGACGATCAAACGACTGAAGAACATCATCAAGCTCTTAAAAATCACTTTAGCCCTTCATCGTCGATCAAAACTCCTCCAATCCACCAAGGAAAGATTAAAACATTCTAAAAGAAAATACAACTGATCAACAGGAAAAAGAAAAAAAGAAACAAACTATCATGAACAGAAAAAAGAAAAGAACAGAACGACGATCATACCTCAACATGATCAGACTGAATACATTAACCGAAAAGGAAAAACAAAACGATTCCGAGAAGGAGGAGGCTGAGAATAAATGAAAAAGAAAAAGAAAAATCAAACGCAGTCTTCAGCGCAAATGGATTTTTATTTTTCTTTTTTCTGTTTTTTCTTCTTCGGAAGTGGAGAGCTACAATTAGACGAAGAACAAGAGTGAAGAAGGGGTCCGGAAATAATAGAAAGAAAGTATGACGTGTCACAAGCCGAACCAGACTCCAAAGCAACAGATGTTTGACACGTGTAGTCTTGGGAGAGATGGTGGCTCGGCGTTAGGTGTGCTTCGTTTGATGAGATAAGAAGGCGGGGGTGTGGGTCCCACTTAGGGGTTTAGCTAATATCTATTTTAGTTTATTTTAATTTCCATATTTTAAAAAAAAAGTTTGATTTGATTTTTTTCCTTTCTTGAATAATTGATATGATTTATTTATTTTCTTTTTACTAATTAATTTGATTTTTTTTTATTTTAGTTTTTTAATCCATTTCTATTATCATAATTTCAGGACAATATTAAAATTTTCAAAATATTGTGATATATTTGTCAAAGATTTTCTTTTGTAGGTAAATTTATTTTACATAAAAACAAAAAAAAAAATAGTCACTTTAAAAAAAATTAAAATAGATAATAATTTTAGAATATTCTGTGTACGAATATAGAAAATATATTTTTTTTTTTTTCTGTTGAAACATGTCTTTCTTAATACATTAGTACTATTTAAGTGAATAATACAAATAGATAATTTAAAATGTGAAAACGACGTCGTCCACGTTGGATTATTTTGGACCAAATATCATAATTGACAAGAAGAGATGTATTTGCAATTGTGGGGCTTACAAATATTCAACTTTATGGTTATGTGTACGTTTTAGTTTTTTTTATTTTTTATTTTATTTATTTTTTTTAATCTTCATTATTATTTAATCTAAGGGAGAGGTTAGGGTACTAGGGTCCAACGGGATCACGGCTAGGGTCCCACTAGGATCCAACAAGATTGGAGCTAGGGTCCAACGGGATAAGGGCTGGAGTCTCGGTAGGATCCAACAGGATCAGAGTTAGAGTCTTGCTAGGATCCAACGAGATCAGGCCTAAGGTCCTGCTAGTGTCTAATAGTACCGACTCAATTAGAGAAATTTTATTTAAATAGATAACGAAAGAGAAAGCTAGAAATTTATTTGGTTAAGTACGGTAATAAGAACCAAATTTATAATTTAACCCAAATAATATTTTATTTATTAATTTTATAAAAATAAATCTAATAAATTATTTTTATCAAATTGGAAAACTATAATAGAAATTAGGAATCAAGTAATTGGGGAAGGTCAAGTTAAATTACTAATAGCTCCACCGGCTGATAGACGGTTTTGCAGTCAGAATTTCAGAAGACTCGGTTGGTTGTTTCCTTCCGCCCACCGCTGCCGTTTTTCTCGTCGGTGACCCTCCACCGACCAATCTCCCTCCGTGTGTCAGTACTTTTTGCTAGTCTCGATCATCCATATCACTTTCTCCATTTGGTTCTTATTCGAATCCTGACAACGAAGAAGTAGAGGAGTGATCTACCTCCCGTGGAACAGGTTCGAGTAAATTGTAGTTTTTTTTTTTGCCTTTTGATAATGTTTGTGGGTTCTTTATGTTGAATCATTTGTCTACTAAGTTCTTCGGTTCATGTATTTCACTTTAAATCTGTCTCTGGTTGGTTTGAACTGGAATGGGATTGTATTTCGAACCCTAATCGGGAGAATCTAATTCGAGAAACTTGTTATTGTTGGTATCTGCATTTGAGGTTTTTTGTTTGGCTACTTGTAATTATTATCTGCGTGTAATATGAAATCTAATGGTTTCTAGGTTTAGCTGCGAAGTGTCTAGGGATTGGATTTATGATTGTCTTTTGATTATTTTTGGGCGCAGAGAGGGGATTCTATGATGGATGTAGTAATGAAGGATGAAAAAAGCATGGAAGAAGAAGAGGATTATGTTGAATATGTTCCCGTGGCAAAGCGTAGAGCAATGGAAGCTCAAAAGATTCTTATGCGCAAGGGCAAGGCTTCTGCTCTTGAGGAAGAGCTGGAGAAATCAAGACTTGCTGAAGCTAAACCTAGTCTCCTTGTAAAAGCGTCTCAGATGAAGCGTGACCAGCCAGAAGTTAGTCCAACTGAGCAGATTGTTCAGCAGGAGAAGGAGATGATTGAGCACTTATCTGATCGTAAGACTCTAATGTCGGTTCGAGAATTAGCAAAAGGAATTACTTACACAGAGCCATTATTAACTGGATGGAAGCCACCACTGCCTATCAGGAGGATGCCGAGAAAGGCGTGTGATTTGATTCGCAAACAATGGCACATTATAGTTGATGGTGACAATATTCCACCGCCAATTAAAAATTTCAAGGACATGAGACTCCCAGAACCAGTTTTGAAGAAGTTGAAAGAAAAGGGAATTGTGCAGCCTACTCCCATTCAGGTCCAAGGTTTACCGGTAATTTTATCTGGTCGAGATATGATTGGGATTGCATTTACGGGTTCGGGAAAGACCCTAGTTTTTGTTCTTCCTTTGATAATGATTGCACTACAAGAAGAGGTCATGATGCCAATTGTTTCTGGGGAAGGGCCTTTTGGTTTGATTATTTGTCCTTCAAGAGAGCTTGCTAGACAGACCTACGAAGTGGTGGAACAATTTTTAATTCCCATGAAGGAGGCTGGATATCCTGAACTAAGGCCTTTACTCTGTATAGGTGGAGTGGATATGAGATCACAAATAGAGATTGTGAAGAAGGGTGTTCATATTGTTGTTGCAACCCCTGGGAGATTGAAGGACATGTTGGCAAAAAAGAAAATGAACCTTGACAATTGCAGGTAAATTATTTCTTCAGTTTCTATTACATCATTTGGGTTAGACTCTCTGAAAACGAATTTGAAATGGACTAGCCAACTTATGATAGCAAGTAGGAACATAACTTATCGATATTATCTCTCGTGTGGAAATCGTCAATTGTTTGGCAAAGAAATCCATGCTTGCTGCCCTTCTCGCTATAAACTTCTTTTGTATGGTTATGTTTGTAGATAATTTTGTTGTTAAACGTCAACTTGTTTCCGATGACTTATTTTAGCTGATGCAAACTGATGATTACTTTACGTTCTCAATTTAGTTTTCCTCTTGGTTGAAAATAATGATACAAATGCTGCTATTGTCATAGGTATCTTACCTTAGATGAGGCTGATAGATTGGTGGATCTGGGTTTTGAGGACGATATAAGGGAAGTTTTCGATCATTTCAAGGCGCAACGCCAAACTCTCTTATTTTCGGCCACAATGCCTACCAAAATTCAAAATTTTGCACGAAGTGCCCTGGTAAAGCCTGTAACTGTTAACGTGGGAAGAGCTGGAGCTGCAAATCTTGATGTTATCCAGGAGGTCGAGTACGTGAAACAAGAGGCGAAAATTGTTTACTTGCTCGAGTGCCTGCAGAAAACTCCACCTCCAGTTTTGATATTTTGTGAGAATAAAGCCGACGTCGATGACATTCACGAGTACCTTCTCTTGAAAGGTGTTGAAGCAGTGGCAATTCATGGAGGAAAAGATCAGGAAGAGAGAGAGTATGCTATATCATCCTTTAAGGCAAGCAAGAAAGATGTATTAGTTGCTACTGATGTTGCATCAAAGGGTTTAGATTTTCCAGACATTCAGCACGTTATCAATTACGATATGCCAGCTGAAATCGAGAACTATGTCCATAGGATAGGACGAACTGGACGGTGTGGTAAAACAGGAATTGCAACAACTTTCATAAACAAGAATCAAAGCGAAACAACTCTCCTTGATTTGAAGCACCTTCTGCAAGAAGCAAAACAGAGGATTCCACCAGTGTTGGCTGAGCTAAACGATCCAATGGAGGATGTCGAAGCGATCACCAATGCCAGCGGAGTCAAGGGTTGTGCTTATTGTGGCGGTCTTGGTCACCGTATCCGTGACTGCCCCAAGTTAGAACACCAGAAAAGCATGGCAATTGCAAGTTCTAGAAGAGATTATTTTGGATCAGGTGGTTACAGAGGAGAAATTTGAGAAAGCTAAGAACAGAATGGATATTTTTGTTTGGTTTCCCATTTACTCTCCACGGATTGTACCTGTACAAACTGATAAGTTATTAATGGTTATAATGTTCCAATGAAATCATGCAGTTTACTTGGTGGATGTCAATACGTTCTTTTGTCTGCGTTGATTTTATCTCAGTTACACTGACACATGATTGACAATCAGTGTTATTTATCTTTGCAACAGGACATCATTAATTGACATTATTGACTCTGTTTCTTACAAATATAGAAAAGGATTGTCTGTGAGTATAAACTATTACAGATTTCTGTAACAGATGAAAAGACACAAATGTGTGCATTCTGGTCTAAGTTCAGAATGGAACATCAAGCTTCACGGTTTGCAGTCGAGACTCGTCGAGTTCAACTTTTTTTCTGAGAGTAAATTGGAAGGCTTAGCCTAACAGATCAATAGCTAGCTAGTCCACTGGAACTTCTACATCCATTTTTATGCCTGAATTACCAAGAACCTGCGAGAAAATTATGAAGTCGTCCAGCGTTACGACATCGTTCAGCGTTAAAAAACTACTACTCGTGAAAAGCTAGTACCTTAATGAAGTCGTCCGGCGTTAAATGAGAGTTTCTGGTATAGCCTGCTTCTAGTAATAGTTGGCACAAGACTTGCTGCAAGGAAAGAGACAAAGGTAAGATAAATTCTTATACTCCTGATTGATCTGTGTGGTCTAACAGGACATTTTGTTTATGAAGGTGAAAGAAACAATGTGAACACAAAGCAAAAGAAACATATTTGAAATGTTCCTTTCGAGCAGCGTAAATGCTCGTGTTATCTATGCACAACCAGCATATCATCATTCATCCAAAAATGAACTTCGTTTCTAGTCGATTACTCGATACACCGATAATTGAATGGATTGATGTTTCAGAGGCTTTATTTGCTATGTATCACACTAAATAAATCACATTGCATTCTCAGATAACAATAAGATGGAGAGGGAGTAAGGGAAGGAAGAAGCCATGCCTCTCTCTGCTTGTCGGAGATGAATGGACCCGACAAATCCCGGAGCACTTCAATGATATCATCGAACGACACCTTGCCATTGCTGTCTGCATCGTATACCTTGAAAATAACTAAAATGAAGACATAGTAGCAACAATTAGTAAGGAATAACAACTGTCTCAAACCGAGTTTTGTGCAGTGACTGAACTCTTGATAGAGTGTTTCAAAGTCATGATAGTTGAAGTAGATATCATGGTAAAAGTTTCTCCATATTAAGTCATCAAACTTATAATCCATGACATCTCGGTTGTTTTAGTGACAACTTATAACAACCCAAACCCCCCGCTAGCAGATATTGTCCTATTTGTGATTTCCCTTTTAGGCTTCCTCTCAAGGTTTTTAAAACCCGTCTAATAGGGAGAGGTTTCCACACCCGTATAAAGAATGTTTCGTTCTCCTCCTCAACCGATGTGGGATCTCACAATCCACCCTCCCTCGGGGCCCAGCGTCCTCACTAGCACTCATTTCGATGTGGGACCCCTCAATCCACCCCCCTTCGGGGCTCAACGTCCTTGCTGGCACACCGTCTCATGTCCACCCCTTTTGGAGCTCAGCCTCTTCGCTGACGCATCGTTCGGTGTCTGGCTCTGATACCATTTGTAACAGCCCAAGCCCACAGCTAGCAAATATTGTCCTCTTTAGACTTTCTCTTTCGGGCTTCCCCTCAAGATTTTTAAAACACGTCTGCTAGGGAGAAGTTTCCACACTCTTATAAACAATGTTTCGCTCTCCTCCCCAACCGACGTAGGATCTCACACAACTTACGCTAGCCCATCTTAGATATCATGAATTATAACTCATACGTCGGGAGAGGAATTTCCACCGGTAATTGAGAGGGGAATGATGGGAATGACGAAAACGTTTTCCCCTTCCTTTATAACATTATTGACCATATTATCAAGGAATCTCTGACATTTTAAATGAACAAACCAGGAGAAAACAGCAGAAACACAAGCACTTACATTCAATCTTATGGTGCATAGTAGCTTTAGCACTGAATACAGACAAGAAAGCCACAAAATCCTTAAAATTCAAACCATCAACCATCTTGAGCAGCCGCTGAAGAACACAGTAAAACAAAAGACACCACTGATATAACCAACCCACAAGAAGCACACAAAAACAGATTCAAGTTCAAAGTTGAATGATGAACCAAGAAAAAGAAACCTGAGAAAGTGGATTCATAGCAAATTCAGGAACTGAGAGGAACTCATCAGCTGAAATAAACCCCTTAGCATTTCTATCAAGTTGGCAGAATCTCTGATATAAGGACACTATTTCCTGTTGGGAGACTGTCATAAACAGAGCAAAAACCAACAGAAAGTAAGCCAAAATCAACCACGAACAAGAACAAATGAAGAAATAGTATAAATCAACCCACAAAGTTTGTCGCAGTGTTCTTGAACTTCTTCAATATCATACTGAGTAAGCATCGATGAGGCATTCCCCATGAATTCTCTATCCAAATGTCCAATTTCTACACAAACCCCATAAAACCCATCATTCAAATCAATCTTCAAACACAGAAACAGTATAAACACTCCCAAATTTGATGGGTAATCTGAAATTAGAACAAATGGGTAAAAGGGAAATAAGGGCAAACCTGAAAACCGAAGCTGATCGGATGATAATGGGCAATATCCAAATTGGGGTTTCTTTTTAGAACCAACGGAGCTGCGGCTTTCACATTGACATCATCGAGACTCCAAAAATCAGAGATGAGTTTTTTTTTTGCCCTTTCTTTGGTGTTGTCTAAGGCGACGAAGATCAAACCCCTGGATCCTGTTCTAAATTGAGCGTAAAATTTGAGTATTTTTGTTATGAGTCGTAAAATTTACTGAAATTAATTGATTTTTATGAACGGAATGAACCTTCAATGCTCTTTTGAGTCGTGATGATGTAAGGTTTCGGTGAGGAATAAATTATGATGACTTATTTAGCTCAAATGTTTTAATTCTTACATGAATCTCTTCTCTAAGAAATTACTTCAAATGTTTTTCTTTTTTGCTTTTATTCATTGATCAAACGATGGGTAAATATTTTACCGACTAGATAAGTAAAACTTAGAATACGAGCTCAAAAGGTAAATATTCTAGAACTTAAAAAATTTCAATCAAAACCAGTCCTAAAATTTGAGTCATATACTTAATTCTAGTTAGAAATCGATGATCCCGATGGTGAATGATAAATTTCAACTAGAAATTAATATTTATGGTCAAAATGAAGAATCTCGTCCACAAAATGATGAATTTCGATAATCTATTAAATATAAAATTCAAGATTCAAAAATTTATAAACGCTAAATTGAAAGTTTAGAAGCACAAATATAGGTGAGTTTCCGTACATATTGATTCATTAACGACCGAACGGAAAATGCTTGCTTCTACTCTTTCTCTCCGAGCTATGAACTATGTTTGTCTAGCTCTGTGACATCCTTGGGGAGTGAAGGGATAGGTGGAACAAGAGGGCAGAATGGATCATCAATCACAGGGTGGAAATTGACTCCATTCGGAAGACTTTCTTTTCCACAGGGATTGCATGCCTGGATTAATCACTTCATGGTAGAGAACACGAAGGATGAACGATGATCGACCTACCTCAATTTTGTATTAGGTTACTCTCTAATATTTGCTCCTTCAAATTCTTAGTCATTAAACAATCTCTCTTTTCTTTATTTTTTTCGAGTAGCTAACCAGCAAAAACGTTGACCTCGAAAAATTATGTGCATCCAACATTTTCTCATTTTGATAGTCATTATAATCATTTCTGTATGTTGATCGGAAAAATTTTGAACGGCCTAAAGAGTATTTAACCATTACTAAACCAGAGTGAATGAATCAGTCGTGTTATATTATCAAAAACTAATCAAAATGAGCTAGAAGAACGAAAGTTGAATGACCTCAAGACGGAGAATTATTTATAATTACATTGTATGCCTTAATTATTATTATTGACTCTCTAATAAATAATTCGTTTACCGTACAATTTTAACCTAAGTCCTTTTTAGACTTGTGAGAGTGTTGGACCTCGCTCTTTAAACCCTAAAACAATAATTAACAAAACTACTCATCTTTTTACTTTATATGCCTATGAGTTGCCGGCTCATTCTTCAACAGACACGCGGTCAGTGTCCTGGTCTCCTTCCACTGTTTGGAAGCTTACAGTTTCATGTTCTATTTCACTCTTCGATGGGGGTTCTTTTCACCCTTCCCTCACGGTACAACTTCACTATCGGTCATCCAGGAGTATTTAGCCTTGCAAGGTGGTCCTTGTTGATTCACACGGAATTCCACGTGTCCCATGCTATTCGGGTCAGAGCGTAAGCTAGTGATGCTTTCAGCTACTAGACTCTCGCCATCTAGAGTGCAACACTCCACTGCTTCACCGACGCTTGTATTGCTCTCTCACAACCCCGTTTTCACAGTTTAAGTTACTCCCATTTGGAAAGAAGTGAATTCCATCTCGTGAAATTTATGTTCCAAACTTTCTGAATGACTTAAGTCTCCAAAATGATAGGTTTATTGAATCATTTACAAAAGTTACTTTTAAGTTGAAAATTAAGATAGAGTAACATATTAAATTAATTAATTAATTTTAATAATATTTTTGCTTTTTCTTTAGTTACTTTAATTAATTTTAATAATTTAATTAAATTAACTGATTGTTATTAGTTAATTTAGTTTTATTGAGTGAAATTATTAAATAATTTCAACCAATTAAATTATGATTTAATTTTTATATTATAAATAATATGCCTCAATTTTAGGTCTGTGTGTTTATTTAGCAATCACTATTAACAACTATTCTCAATAAATGATTTTAATAAAATTTTACAAATCTATAATTTAAAGATCACATCCTTTTTCTATGCACGTGAAAGTCAAGTGAGATTTGTCCAACATCAATAACAAAAATAATAAAGTAAATGGTGGTTGGTCGTCCTGACATTTCTTCTCTCAAAACATAAATGAAGACGGTGTCTTTGATAAACAGAAGAAATATTTTTCGTTTACGTAGAAAAATGTAAATTTGCGACAAGTACTACATCAACGGTGTGTCAATAGCGTGCAGGTTTGTCTATTTTGCATATCACTTCAAGATTGGTAAACAAAAGAAATATTTTTCATTCATTAATAATTTTTATTTCTATAGAAAACTCGTGAATTTATTTTATTGAATATTTAAATTTGCAACAAAATACAAAATCAGCGGTGCGTCGGTGGCGTGTAGTTATATCTATTTTGTTGATTACTTCGTTTTTTCAATAAATAAATTTAAGTACGTGAAAGTCAATCATTAATAATAATAATTAAAAAAAAAATAGTTAAATTCGAGGATAGACTTAATTTGGTGGAACATGGTCCACTTAGCCATTATATTTTGTGGTTGGTTTTGGGGTTCTTCGAGCCACCTTCCTTTGAAAAGGCATCCAACCACACCGCACCAGCCACCAGGACCCGAAGCCACCACTTTTTGACTTTTTCACGGACCAAATCGGTCCTTTTGTTTTTTTCTTTTTCTTTTTTCCTTAAAAATAATAAAAAAAGAAAACCCTGGTGGGCCATCTTCAATCCTCAGCCATCCGATTAAGATACCCGATCTAGAAGATAAGGCATCGTTTGGGCAGATGTTCCTTTCGTGGGTCAGGGTCACTCCATATTCAAGTACTGCCCTTTTTTTTAATGGGTATTATTGTAATATCACCATTTTTTTTTATTCTTTTTCAAATTTTTTATTTAAATTATTTCCCACGTATTTAATATCTTTTTAAATTAATAAAAATGGTCAGACATCAAATTGAATTTGAATTCTAATTTTTTTTTAAAGTACAAATTTTATTACACGAAATTAAATGGTTAGGATCAAACTTATTAATTTATTTATTAAACTCTAATTTTTAATACCTTATCATTCTCTTCACGCAACCATAAAGAAAAAGGAAATGGGAATTTGAAGGACTCCACCAATCTTACTCAAAACAAAAGCATTTTGATGGAAAATGGGAATACTCTTTTTGCTTTTACGCTATATTGTGTTTTTGTTAGTGTTCGTGTAAATAAAACGTACACGGGAGAGTAGACTTCAGAAGAAAGTTGATAATTCATACCAAAATTTCAACTCAGTTCCAGTTTCGTTGTTGATGTGGTATCAAACTCAAACTGAGAAACAAAAAGAGATATCGAAAGGACGAGGTATTTATACTTAGGGTTACGTCTATAATTTTTACTTTTTCTTTCTAGACTCTTTATAAAGTAATGATAATGCACGGTTGACTTGTGTATGTTGTTTGGAATTTCCGTGCTCCAAGTTGACCCTTTCACCACCAATTCATTATAAAGAGTCCACTCCAGAACCTCAATTTTCAATGCTACTTTCTACTCGTTCATTCACCATATTGGTAGGAGAGGAGAACGAAATACCCTTTATAAGAGTGTAGAAGCCTTTCCCTAGGAGATACGTTTTAAAGCTTTGAAGGAAAATCCGAAAGAGAGAGCTCAAAGAAGATAATATCTATTAGCAGTGGGGTTGGGCCTTTACAAATGATATCAGAGCTCGCACCGCACATAGTCTACCAAGTTGAGAGATTTGAATATTTTAACTTCTTTTTTAGCTCAATAACACGTCAAGTTGGGAGATTTAAATATTCTAATGTCTTAATTATTGAAGGATTATCGACAACTTGCAAGAATGTCAGAGAACCGAACCAAATGTTATCCACCAACATAATAACTTAATTAGCTGATTGACTTTGTAAGGAACCTTTTTCTTTTTCCTCTGCTTTTTTTCCTTTTTTTCATTTGGTTGAAGAAGCTTCATTGCAAGATCATTCCCATTCCATCAATCAATGAGTCAACGACACTCTGAAAAGCAATACTTTTTCAACCTTTGAAAATTCCCACTACCCAATAAAACCCCCCCATTCTTTCCTTCTCCATTCACTCTGTTTTTCATAATTTCTTCCTCCAATAATGGCCGCCACCGCCACCGCCGCCACCGTGCATTCCTCCACCACGACCTTCGTCGAAGCCGACCCATCATCATTCCGAGCAATAGTTCAGAAGCTAACCGGAGCACCTAACGCCCCATCAGCGTCGTTTCGTCTGCAGGAGCGGCGGCGGAGTAGCAAGAAGCTGGAGCTGGAGCTGAACGGCGGCGATGGTTTGACAGGGATCGGAATTGGAATCGAAATGGTATCGCCGGTGTCGACTTTGGATTTTGTAGCACGTGGGAATCCTTGTGAAGAGGAAGAGAAGGCCATCGCCGGAAAAGGGTTTTATTTGCACCCAAGTCCAATAAGCCCTCCCGGAGGATCCCAGCCGCCTCGGCTTTTGCCCCTGTTTCCTCTTTCTTCTCCAAGGGACTGTAATTTCAGAAACCATTCTGTTTCTTCTTAATTTTATACTTATAATTATTTTGCCTCTCCCTCTCTCTCTTAAATTACATGAATTAAATTACTTTATGAAAAAAAAAAAAAATTTGAGCTACCGAAATTGTTGCTTGTCTAGTGACTCATCCAGAATCATTATCATTTTGTATTTGTCTGATAAATTTTGTCCAAACAGTATATGGTGTGAGAGATACACTTGTAAACACTCTGATTAGAGTGGTTGACTACCACATGTATATCTGCATAAATTTCTTAACCACATAAATCTAATGTCTGTTTTTATGAGTATGTAAGTGTGATCGATCTTTCTTCCGCTTCCAGTACAACAATTAGTTTTTTTTTGTTGTAGCATTTGGGTACGACAGGTCAAGTAGATGCTCTCCCAAAAAAGATGAACCATAAATTATATATATGTCACCTTATTGAGTGCAACATTGGCTACAAACTCTCTTTTGCACAAAATGATTTATGCATAGAAAGAGTTGAGGTGCGGTGAACGTAGATCTACACGTGACCTTCAGATTTTCAGTCTAACGCTCTTGCAATTGAGCTATCCCCGCCATTTACAATTTTAAATGAAAAGTGTAATGACCCGCCCTAAGATTCTCTGGAAACCCTATCATGAGTAATATATGATAATAGTGTTGTTGATAAACGTATTTGATTCAAGAATTTCATCAAGGTGATGTGCATATTTTACGTCACTATGCCTATGGGTACACCAACTCGTATAGCTCTCCTTTGCATAAATAATTTTCCCGAGGTGTGTTATAATGGGTATAAAATTTTGATATGATTTTTTTTTTAATTTTTTAAGATGAAGAATATTTTTTTGTTAATTTGAAAAAAAAATAGTATTAATTAGTTTTATTTGTTATTTTTATAAATATTGGATTTTTAACTGTACCAAAATTATTATTTAATTAATTTTAAGATTTATTTAGATTATGTAGATTAAAATTCAATATTTAAAACATATATACACTAACGTGGAATAAAACAAAAATTACAAGATAAAAATATTAGCCTAATTATTATGAAAGAGTGAAATAAGAACAAGCGCCAAGCAAAGTGAAAACCCGCATTGTCAGTGGCTTTGGCGCGAATTTTGCAATGCTCCTTCTCGTCAAGCTCGCGTCTGGATTCCATTACCAGAGAAGTTACCGAGCACCATAGCTTTTGCTTCAAGGTACGTTCTCTTCTCTCCCGTTCTTAAACTTCATGTCTGGTTTCCAAGAAACTAATCTACTGAAACGAAACACGATGCTAATCGATCACTTTCTGATCTATGGTGCGTTTTGAACCGATAGACTTCGATTATCCTATGTTTTATCTCCCATATGTGTTTATCATTCCGTTTTCGTTGCTATGTTCATATCTATATTAAAATTTTGGGGAAATAGTATTTGGTTGATCTTTTTCTAAGCTTAAGAAGTTTTCATTCTCTTTTCGGGAATCGTATCGCTTCCGTTAATTTTTCCAGTTAGGTTAGAAAGACGTAGTAGTAGATTGAGTAATGAAGTTTAAGGCATATCTTACGGATTATGCGGTAAATCTCCTGGAGAAGAGGTTTCTACTAGCCCTAGACAAGATGTGCAAGATATGCAATCTCTATTTGACCGTAGATTAGGTCATCTTCTTGCATAACCTCCTTAGTGGCGGTGGAATTCAATCAACTGCTCAGTTTTGTAAAGAATCTCTGTTTGATGACCACAGAATCTCCAGCAAGAATGATGAGCGAATTCTGTTTGGTAATGGTCCAGCAGCAAATCGCCTCCAAATTATGTTAGTGAAGAAGTTTCCTCTGAATTGCGCCCAACCAATCCCTTTCCTTGCATTTGAGATTAAACGTTAAAAGTCTTCCGTAATTCTGGATGTACCAATCTTAAAGCCCATGTCAAGAGATCAAGCCCTTGAACTTCGAACTGCTCTAGATATGTCACAGGATTCGCCTCGGAAGCTTGTGCAGGTTCCTAATCTTAAGCAGTTGTACAACTTTGTGAATTGAATGAGGAATGTTGGGATTTTCTGAATGTCACCATAAGCAAGTATGGAGATTTGCACATGCAGATTTCCACAACATTGATCACTCCTTGTGCTGAATATCGGAAACTATTCGTCATAGGGGAACTAGCAAATGCTCCAGCTAAAGATCAAAATCTAAGTGCTCAGACTAGATCGACCAGGGCAGTATTGCGGGGAGACGTTCAATCTGTACAGGTGAGAGTGAGGCACTTTGCCAAGAGCCTTCATTATTACCTGGCCAAGCCAAATTGCACTTTCTATGGCATTGCTCCTCAGGGCGCCTGCTTGACAGTATTATTTCAGTTCTTCATTCCTGGATCTCTGACAGACTGATAAAGCAATCAGTCTACATTGCCGACTTCCCTTTCTTGACCCTGGTGCATGTTGAATTTAGATGGCCTTCTCATGCAGCCTATGATTTCAAGAGCAAATTTCAAATGGAATTTGGCCGAAGTGTACTGGTCACTTGACGATCTATGTTAGTATCGAATTAATACATCTTAAAGTTTCTGTAATCAGGCGGAAATATTTGTGTTTTTCTTCGAACATATACAGATTCTTATATCATTTCCTCATGGATTGAAGAATTTAGAGCCTCAGTAAACAACCAGAAAGAGATTAGAAAGGGAGAGGGGAGGTTATTGATTTAAGAAATGAAGACCATCAATAGTATTCTTTACACAAACATAAACCATATGTGAAATGGTGGAATATGGTTCTGTCCCTTAACGGTTACTCCTCTGTCATACAACTTTGCCATATTGTGACAATCCATGCACATCTCACTGTGTTGAAAGACTGAATTCTCTTTATCTCTGCTTTGTCAAGGAACACATTTATTCTCTACTATGTCAAGGAACACATTTATTCTCTACTATGTCAAGGAACACATCTGAGACATCAGGTGAATACTAATATGATGTGTGTTAATGGGTTTAGAGATACTTAAAAAAGGACATGGAAATTCTTATATGATGTGTGTTAATGGGTTTAGGGATATACATGAAAAAGATGAACCATAAAAAAGTGTATAGACATGTGCGGTATACATGAAAAAGATGAACCATAAAAAAGTGTATAGACATGTGCGGTGAACGTGGATCAAACATGTGACCCTTCAGATCTTCAGTCTCCCAA